AAACCTTTGCGGTCGACCGCGGTCTACGTGTTGGCCACCCCTGCTATAGACAATATCAACTTCGCTCAGCAAGAATTAACTGATAACATCTTCCACACTTTGTTCGTGCATTTATCAGTAAGATATTCAAGAATTCTCAATGAGAAGACTCTATCATTGACCAAATTGTCAACCTAATCGATACAGCAGGACTAGGAGATGCAGATGAGCAGGATATTGAGGAGTTACTGCAGGTTTCTGGTGACAGCCTTACCAATGACGACCTTTAAGAACTGGCGGAACAAGGAATTCATGAACTGAAAAACAGAGATTCTGAAAATGAAGAACCCAAAGAATTTCTCTACAGATTTCCTTAAGTAAAAGTTTAGTAATGATAACCAAAATCGTTGATCAAATTGTAGTGAATGATCCAGATTTTGAAAGGATGCAAAAGGAAGATGAGGCATTTTGGATGCAATCTTCTTACTGACATTTGCTTAAGGAAAGAAAAAAGCAGCAAATGACATGATACGACTTCATCGCAAAAAAAATCAAGAATTTCAGAAGAGTCGGGACCGTCATCATAAAAAATGAACTTTACATTTCTGTATGCATATTTCAGGTGTTATTTAACATATATTATTATGCAAATTAATATAAAAATAACTTAAAGTAAAATTTGTTTATTTTTGGTTGGGCGTTCCCCTTTCTCTATTTACTCTGTGTTAAAATGACCTTGTTTAACACTGTTTTGTTTAGTGCTTTGTCATCTAGGAATGCATCCCCACATTAAGTGGGGTCTTACTGTATTAAAGTCATGTAATTAATCTCATAGTTACATTTCTGTATGCATATTTCAGGTGTTATTTAACATATATTATTATGCAAATTAATATAAAAATAACTTAAAGTAAAATTTGTTTATTTTTGGTTGGGCGTTCCCCTTTCTCTATTTACTCTGTGTTAAAATGACCTTGTTTAACACTGTTTTGTTTAGTGCTTTGTCATCTAGGAATGCATCCCCACATTAAGTGGGGTCTTACTGTATTAAAGTCATGTAATTAATCTCATAGTTAACTCTATGTTTTATAATATATTATATTACATATGGTACTGGTGATTATCAAAAAATATACATATATATATATTTATTTTTTTTTTTTAATTTTTACAAGTTTAAAAGTCAAAATATCTGCAAATGAAAAATGATTTAGTCCACTTTGATAATCACCAGCAATACATGTAATATAATATATTATAAAACTTGTTAATTTATTACAAATTAAAGTGTTATAAAATATATAAATTTCTCTGATGTTACTTGAAATTTTTGTTTAAAAGTTATTGCAAATTTAAAAAGAATTCAGCAACAAGTTGTTATATATATATGATGATATATATCCATAAAAACTAAAACACAAATATATTTACTCTTACTAAAAATAGATTTTTTTTATGTAATTGTAAATAGGTAAATATCATATCTGAGGAGGGTCAGACTTAATGAATATTTAGGGGGTTATTAGCCTTTACAATTTTTTATAAAATTAAAATTCACCTCTATTCTAATTTTAAGCTTTTTGACATTTTATAATAATTAATAATATAAAAAGTTTTTTTAATAAAATCTCATAACAGATGGTGCCACATACAATTTGAAGATTTTTTTTTGCTGGAAAAGTTACATAACTTGTTGCTGAATTTTTTTTTAATTTGTAAGTATGGATTCCTAAGTCAAAGAAAGAATCACACCCTATAAAAATTGTATAAATACTGGAAAAGAAATTTACTGTAGATCGACAGTTAACTAGTGTTCATGTAGATACTATTAGAAATATTGTGGAAAAGTTCAAAACCTGTGGAACTATAACAAATTTGCCAAACCCTGGACAGCCAAGGGAAAAATGAGTTTTGAAGACAGAAAAATGCTGCATGGAACAAAAAAGAAAAATGCTGCATGGAGCAAAAAAGAAAAATGCATTTTTATCAGCTTCAAAAGTAAACAATATTTTATGAACATATCAACAAGTACTATATATGTATGTGATTAAACAGTCAGAAATCAATTGCATAGTTGTGGTCTAACAAGTTGTCATGCTAGAAAAAAGCCATTGCTTTCTAATGTGCATCTGATGAAATATCTAGCATGGGCAAAGAAATGCCAAAAACATCATTGTGAATGACTGGAAACAAGTTTTGTTGTCAAATGAGACCAAAGTTAAACTTTTTGGATCAGATTGAATTGTCAGAGTTTGGAGGCACATAGTAGCAGCTTTAAAAAAACTGTCAAAACTGTTAAATATGGAGGAGGTAGCAAAATGATTTTGGTCTTGGAGAGGTGTAGGAAATTTTGAATTAATCAATGGAATCATGAATATGAGATCCTGAAGAAGCATATTTCTCCATCAGTTTATAAATTGCATCTTGGAAAAAAGTATATTTTTCAACAAGACAGAGATCCCAAGCATACAGCTGGGATTATTACATCCTGGTTCCAAAAAAAGATCAGAGCATTAGACTAGTCTCCACAATTGCCAGATTTAATCCTAATTGAACACTTACAGTCAATATGAAAGATAAAAATTGCAAAACAATAAAATTAAAATCTACAACTTGGTTAAGGAAGAATGCCCCAATATTAATAACAATATAATTGCAAGATTAGTGGAATCCATGCCAAGAAGAGTTGATGCAGTTCTTAAGGTCAAGGAGGATTATATAAAATATTAATCTGTACATTTTGTTTGAAATCATAAAACCAGAGAAAAACCTTATGATGTGATTCTTTTTTGAGGTATAATTTTGTGCTTGTAAATAAAAAGCATAGTCTAATCTAAATTGTGAAATATTAGAAAATTGTATCACTGTGTTTTATTAGTAGTTTTTAATCTTTCAATTTTGCATGTGAACATCTGAACTAATTTTTTAATTAAAAGACATTTCAGAGTTTTTCATGAAATGTTGCTGCAAGAGTGGAAAATGTTTTTTGACATTGTGTGTGTGTGTATACAGGGTGTTTATAATGAATGGTGTGGTTTTAAAAATTAATAATAAATCTATTTATTACCTTATATGGGCAAACCTTATAGCATAAGCAGCAGCAACTGTCCAAGTTTTCTGTGCATTAATCACAATCCTTCAATATGTGCATCCTTGGTCACACGGCACACATCTACACGGTAATCAAATTCTCCTCATATGCGGTGTAGCATGTCCTCTGTGATGGTCTGCAGTGCATGCTTTATTAGATCACACATTTCCTCAAGGGACACGGGCATTGGTGGTACATAAACTCAGTCTTTAACAAACCTCCCACAAAAAGAAATCACAGGATGTTAAATCTGGCAAACGGGGTGGCCAGGGGAGCAGATTGTTGTCTGCTGTTGCACCATGTCCAATCCAGCATTGGTGAAGAACACGATTAAGCATGACAAGCGAAGAGCATGTAGTGCACAAAAAACTTGGACAGTTGCCGCTGCTTATGCTGTAAGGTTTGCTCATATAAGGTAATAAATAGATTATTATTAAGTTTTAAAACTGCATCATTCATTTATAAACACCCTGTATATACAGGATCTGGCAGGGATGGGTGTATGATGACAATTTTAGGTTGATTTATAATGTTTGCTTGGAGTGCTGATTACCATGAAAATAAGTGTGTATCACTCATCAGATGATGCCATTTCTCAGTAACAATGAAGCCATGGAGCCATGCGTTGTGCTTTTGTTGTTGAAACATTTTTTAAAAGTGGTGATTGGTGACTGATTTGGAGGAAGTTTCAAACTCGTTTTAATGTTGGATATCACGGTAGAGTTCCAAGCTGGAACACTATTCTGAAATAGATCAAAAACCTGAGAATGACAAGTTCAGCGTATCCAAGGAAAGCTTGTGGAAGTGAGTGAAAAGTTTGGACTCTTGAAAACTCAGAATTGGTGAGACAAGCTATGGAGAATAGCCATCATCATTCAGTAGTAAAACATGCTCATGCTCTACAGATGTCAGAGAGATCAGTTTGAAGAATTTTACATTTAGAGCTAAATTATCATCGTACAAGCATATTCAGCAAGCAATGATCAACTTCTCCACAAGGCTACAGGAATGCATTGACAAAGACAGATGCCACTTGAATGATGATATTTTTTGAACTTAATGGGCTCTTTATTTTTCTTTACATTATTAAATGGTATACATTTTTGTTTCCGTTGAAAAAATACAATAAAATTTTACTTTCATAAACTCTATAAACGAATACAGTAACTGTGTATGATTATGATTATATACCAGTGGGGTGTGTGTGTATATATATATAATTTATATATATATTGTTTTAATTTATAATGTATATAAAATATATATATATGCAAATAAAGATTTGCTACATGATCTTTTGATTAATGTCAGACCCAATAATTACATCTACAAGAAGAAAACAAGAAAAGCTTATAAAAGTAGTTATTAATAAGCTTTTATAAGTTATTATTAATCTAATTTTATAAGCTTAAATAAGCTTATAAGCTTTTATAAGTTATTATTAATCTTGAGGTTATGAAGCTGATACAGGCTCCAAATATCCAAATAAAAACAGCAGCAAACACATGAGAAAATGATAGTGATTCTGTTTGTAGTGAGGCCACCAATTCTGACAATAGAAATAGTTGTGATAGTATGTAATGTATAAAATCATGTTTCTTTTATGTTTTAAGATTTATTCTAATTATTATAAATATATTTNACACGCAACGGAGAAAAATTTCAACACGGGATAAATTAATATATTTTTTCGTACATAATTGGTTATCCGAAAAATAAGTTATCCGAACGAACAACCCCAGTCCCCAATTGATTCGGATAAACGACGCTCTACTGTATATGTATATAATATAAATTTTTTCCTTAAAACAATAATTTTTTAAAAGTGTTGGATCAGAATGATAAATTTAAAATAATTTGACAGTATTTCAAAAAACATTTTTATTTGTCTGTCATTTCTATTTAATATAATTTAATAATTTATTTTTAGTGATAAAACTTACATGGAAAGTGTAGTTGGCTTTATACATGAAGTTGTTCCTCAAGTAAGTACTATTTTTTTAACAGTAGTTAGTATTAGTAAAGTTTTTTTTAACTTTAGTAATATATTGTAGGATATGACAGAAAAATTTTCTTCTTACATTAAATATACAGTAAAACCTGTCTAAGGGATCACCCATAAATTATACTATTTTTATACTTTTCAAGTACCATCTCATCTCCCTACAACACTCTGTAATGCTATTGGACATAAACACCCCAAAATTGCATAATACACATCCTCAATCAATCTTTTCAATGGTGAGATGGATTATGTGAAGGCTTTATTATCATTCTAACAATTTTTTGTAAGTATGTGTTATGTTATAGATTATCCATATTAAATTACAATATGAAAGGAATATAATTAATGGTCTGGTATTAGAGCACCACAACCTTGATTTATCTAGTAAGACTTTTGATTAAAATGTGTCAGAAAATCAGTGGTTGATTTGTATTTTAGAATTAATTTTATATGTAAAAATATATTATTAATATACCATATTTACTCGCATATAAGACATGGTTTTTATTCATTTATCACAGCTTCAAATTCCTAGGTTGTCCTATATGCATGAGCAAAAGATTCTTTGTGTTTTTGCAAATAATTTTTGTGAACCGTCTATTCGCATTTTTTACCGGATGCTAAAAGATTTGGATTTTTTACCGGTTTTTCTAAACATAAGTATTATTTGAATTGTTCTTGTATATTGTCAGGAGTAAGATGAATAGCAATAGGAAAAGCAAAGCTTTTGAATTGAATTCCAGATTGAAATTCCAAAATTACATGAGAGCCCTATATAAGTTTTAATCCATTCCTACATGAAAATGGATGATTATTTGGAAATCAGAGAAACTCATAAGTGTAATTGACAGAGAGTGGATTTGACTGTTAAAAATAGGCAAAAAAAGATTTCTGATTGTCCAGCTTTACATGAACAAATTATGTTGTCGATTTTACAGGATTTTTCCTTAAAGTTAAAAATGCTAGTAATTTTTGCAAGATATTGTGTGCATTTACGTTCATTTAATATTTTACTTGTGATTAAACAAAATAAAATTAGAATTGCATTAATAAATCTAATTTTCTTTATTTTGATCTTTAATGTCACACCTCATCCTATATGCAAGTAAATACGGTAATTATTTTATATTATTAATTTTATTTTTGTAATTAATTTAATTTCTGTTATGTAGTTTGCTGTCCATTTGTAGATATAGTTATTAACTGTTCAATGTATTGGGTTGTTCGAAAAGTAAGTTTGTTTTTTTCTGTAGAAAAAAATGCAATATTCTTATAATAAATAAATATTTTATTGAATTATATGTTGACCATTTTGATCAAATACCTGTTGTCATCATTTCTGGTAGTAGCACGATTTCACATTCATAAAAGTTTTGATCATTGCTTACAAAAAACCGATCCAAGTGATTTTTGACATTGTCATTTCAAGTAAATGTCTTACAGTTAAAAAAAATTGTATAGACCGGAACAAGTAATAATCTGAGTGTGCTCAATCTGGCGAATATGGTTGGTGTGATAGCACGTCCCATCTAAGTTATAACAGTTTCTGACGAGTTACCAAACTTGTGTGAAATTTGACATTATTGTGGTAAAACACTACAGCTGGTTTTTTTTTATCAATTCTGGCCAGCTTTTTCTGTTTGATGATATTATGCAATTTGTTTATTCGAATGCAGTACACTTTTGAATCAATTGTTAAATTGTCTGGTAAAAGCTCCAAAAAAAATTCTTTAATATCCCACCAAATAGAGAGCATTTCTCTTTAAGAACTCGTGGAATTCATATATCGAGCTTAGAAACAAAACCAATTTGTTTCAAGTACTCATAAACAGTTCATTTTGACAAATTTAATCTCTTAGTGATTTCACGTGTTGTTATTCTGCAGTTTGCTTCAATCAGTACTTTTATTTTGTTTTCATTGGCTTCAATTGGCCATCCATAACGTGGTGCATCTTCAATACTGAAATTGCGAGAATGAAATTTTGTAAACCAGTTTTGGCACTATTGTTCTGTCAACACATCTCCACCATACATGTCACACGATTTTTTCTTGTTTGAACAGCATTTTTATTTTTTTGGTAATAAAAAAGCAAAATATGCCAAAGATTCTGCTTTCGATCTTCCATATTTGATGGGACACAAAAAATAAACAATTGCATGAAATCAAACAAAATTGTTTACAAATAAGCCATAAAATGCTAGCTGTCAAAATATATAATGATAATACGGTTTAGAACGAAAATGGCGGGAAAAATACAACTAATCTGTCTAGTGGTAAAAAAAACGAACTTACTTTCCGAACAACCCAATAGAACAGGAATATTTGTAACAGAACAATAACAAACGCTGCAAACAATGGACTTTCTGTTTGGCCGTTACGTGACTCGAGCAATGTACTGGCTGCGAACAACGGACTTTGTTTGGCAGTTACGTGAGGCAAACAACGGACTTTCTGCGAACAAATGCGAATGATGTTTCCACTCTTTTGCCGCTGCCAATGACAATCTGCTATTTTTATAATATATTAGTATTATTAGAATATATTATTAGTATATCTGAAGTACAGAGCTCCCATTGGGTTTGGCTTGCTCCCTTGTTTATTACATACATCACCTCAATGCAGGGTATTTACATTTATTCAAGTGTTGTGCAAATCATGGCTTCTAAAAAAACAGAAAGGTGATTTCAATTGAAACAAAGCAAGAAAGCATCAGAAAGAGTGAAAGTTTACAAAAACTTCCTTGTCAAGTGGGGAGAGGTTCAGGAGTTTACCAACACTCATTATCCAAACAGAGCTGAGGCCAACAAGATCAATGATCTCTACAATGACACCCTTGCCCGTCATTTCCGACAGGTGTTGAAGAAGAGAGAGAAACAGACCACCTTGGACATGTTTTTCAAGAAGCCAGCAGGCAAAAAACAAAGGATGGAACAAGAGGAGTTGACCCTGCAAGCCCCGGTAGCCTTTCCTGAATCTGACTCTGATTAAAAAACAATAAAAAGAGACCTGCTGAAATGTGTAAAAAGTCTGTATCTGTATGAATGTGTAAAGAAAGTGTTCCTCCACCTCCTCCTCACAGCATCCAGCATAATTGGTGACTGCTCCATTATTATTTTTTTTATGGTACAGTATGGTTATTTTATGCTGCGGAACGAATTATGTTTTAACATGTATTTCTATGGTAAAATGCATTTTGTATAACGGACTTTTCACTTAACGGACATGCACCTGGAATGGATTAAGTGTTATACGAGGCACCACTGTATAGTGTTGAAAGTAACACCTATATAGCTGTTCAAAATACACAACAACCTATAATTAACCAATAACCAGTGTGAAACTCTTCAAAAAATCGACAAACGTTTTCGATGCTCCTCCTGGGCTCTTCTTCAGGCTTATTTTATATCTTCTGTTATAACTGGATTCTTTAATTTGAATGTTTTTAAAAATTTGGAATGTGCCCTTTTTCTGAAAAAATTCCAAAAGTGGAAAGAATCCACAAGCTATTTCAAATATATTTTCTTCCAATGGGGATTCATTATGTGCACAATACCTTATTTAAATTTATCTTATAAAATATATTATGATTTATCGTCTAGTAAGAATTGCCATGCTGTAGAGAGATTCATTTCTTCTTTGAAATGAGCCCTTTTTCTGAAAAAATTCCAAAAGTGGAAAGAATCCACAAGCTATTTCAAATATATTTTCTACCAATGGGGATTCGTTATGTGCACAATACCTTATTTAAATTTATCTTATAAAATATATTATGATTTATTGTCTAGTATGAATTGCCATGCTGTAGAGAGATTCATTTCTTCTTTGAAATTAATGCATGTGGATTTGCGGTCGGCTTTAAAGATTTCCAGTGCTTCCAAAGTTCTTAGTTGCCCTTGATGTTGGTTGGTGCGGATAACATGCGCTTCGAAGATAGGTGTGATGCCCAGGTTGAAAAAACTGTTGATGATAACTCTTTATACAGTAATGCATCGAAGCAGTGGCTAAAAGATGGAGTAGTGTATTATGAGAGTTCACTTTTCGAAAATAATTTAATTGCAACATTTATAAATTTTTTTCATTCAACACATCCAATGTATTATTGTATAATTCTGTGCCTATCAGCATAGCATTTTCAGACAGTGTATCAGAAGATGTTATTGCAATTAAATTATTTTCGAAAAGTAAATTTCATAATACACTACGCCATCTTTTAGCCGCTGCATCGATACATCACTGTATAAAGAGTTATCATCAACAGTTTTTTCGTCACAACGTGAAAAACTTGCTTCCCTTGATGACATTTTTTTTAATTATAAAATAATTATTCAAAATAAATTTCACTGCACAAATACGTCTATTCGTGTCAAAATTCAGAAACAAACTGTTAAAGAGTGAGTGAAAAAGAACTCCAATAGAAAAAATGCTCCTAGTGAGAATTAGATCGGTCACCGTTGGTGATAACAATTAGATGGGAAAGTTGACACATAGGTGTCAAGAATGTGCTGTTATTGTCAACAAAAGTAAAAAAATATTAGACTTGGAATAGTAGAAATTAAATTAAAATAAATAAATAATAAGAAATAAATGAATGAGTAAATAAATAAATACATTATAAGTATTTATGAATTAAAAAAAAAAA